TTTTTTTTTTGCAGCATGTCCCCTGTGGGCCACTGTATGAGGTTAAAATAGATTCAGTCTAGCTGTAGTTGAGAGAATTTGACAAAAGACCAAAGACAAGACATGCCCTTAAAAATGGTACAGTTTCCATCTTATGTAAGCTGTGTCTTATCTTTCCTCATATAAAATTAATGACCCTAATAAGCTTACATGCTATTGAGGATGGCCATGGCATAAGCATATTAAAGAAGAATGCAAATCAAGGTCTTCCACACTAGACCAGAAGCTTCTTATGCTTATGCTTGCGTCGCTAGTGAAGACAATTACTACACTAAACATGCTTATGCATGTTTGCGTCACGCACTGTTGCATAAATTATCACAAATCCAGGATTATGAAAATCATAAATTTTTCCTGCACTTTTCTTTTTTAAATGCTTCAAAAACATTAAACAAACTGGTGCTTTCTATCTTGTGAAATATTTATCAGTCTAGTTTATTATTACGAGGCTGTGTCTGGTTTAAGAATGTTTTTTTTAAAATTATTGTTTGCTAAAACGAGGATGTGTCTGGTTTAAAATACTGTATCACCTGCTTCGTTTTCCGTGATTTATATCACTAGAATTTTTCTTGTGAAGATTGACGGTAATGTGCATGCATGTACGCAGCCTACAAGCACATACAAATATGGGACGGGTCAACGCAACAAAGAAAAAACAAAATCATTATATTTACTAACTTCCTTATAATCAGACGTAAGCGGAAGCTACTCTCTTGAATAAAGGACAGCAAGCACCATCCCCCGACTAAATTCAACTCTGGTACAATACTGCACCTGGTAGAACAAAGCTTTAACATATCTCGAAAGAACATACGCAGTATCTCACAAGGAAGCGCCTTGTCAGCCGTACAGCAAAGGAAGTCGATCAGTAGTTCGGGAAAACTCTCCTTTAAATGTCAAACGAAATAGCTAGCATTAGATTTTAAAAGAAAAATTGTACCTTCCCAGAGGCTGATCCACCGGCAACTCCAATGAGAAAAGGTTTTGGAGGAGTGCTTTTTATCAACTCTCTTCTCACCGGTACAAACTCTGCAACCGACGCCATGTTGAGTCGACGCATGAAACATCAGGGAGGGGAGGGACAAACACGAATGCATCCAGCTTGCTTGAATCGTGACGTCGGTTGTCACGAACGAACCGAATAATCAGCAATGGCTTCCTGCCGTCAGCATCTTCTTTTCAGGAGAATTTTGTCCTGTGTTACCTCCCGGGCGAGGAAAAAAATTCCATCGCAACGCTGGTTCTCGCTTTTTACTAGCAATCCAAAGAGTTCGAAAAATCACGGCTCATTTGAGCCAAAAATCTATGATGTGGTCATCGTTGGAGGGGGAATTATGGGTTCATCTTCTGCTTATTTTCTGGCGAACAGAATGGCTCCTGAAATGGGTAGAATTTGTGTGATCGAACAAGATCCAACGGTGAGAGCAAAGTTTCTAATTGATATTCTGTTTATTAAGCTTTCAAGTAACCTGCGATCAGGCGATTAAAAAAAAAAAAATCGCCTGATCGCAGGTTAGCTTTCAAGATGCACTTATCCCGGCTGGGCCGAGCCTTGACCTTGGGGACTTGTTGACATTTGCTGCAAATTTTGACTCCGGGACGGTGAGATTGAATCGCTTTTACACTTTTGCAGTAGGATCTCCGGGGAAAGAGCCGCGGGATTTGGAATGCAAAAAAATCAGTATGGAAAAATTTACAATGAATCCCACAGGTAGCCCCAAGCTCGAAATATGAGCATCGGCCAGCATCGGCATTGTTGCGTAACATTCAAAATATAAGGATTTGTATGGGAAAAAAAAACCTATCTCAATCGAGAGAAAACCGTTTACATAAAAACCCATAAAGGTCGGTACACACTAGGCGACAAGTTGCAGCAACATGTCGCGGCGACACGTTGCAGCGACAAATCGCTTCGTGTGTACTGGAGTAGTTTTGTGAAAATCTTTGTCGCTGCAACAGAATTTGTCGCCGCAACAAGTCGCACAGATTCAGTCTGATTTGATTTTTTGCGACTTGTTGCAGCGACAAAATTCTGTTGCGGAGACAAAGATTTTCACAAAAATTCTCCAGTACACACGAAGCGATTTGTCGCTGCGACGTGTCGCCTTACCTTGTTGCTGCAACTAGTCGCCCGACCTGTACACATGGAGTGATCTGTCGCCGCGACGTGTTGCAGCAACTTGTCGCCTAGTGTGTATCGACCTTAAAAACGGCCGTAAATCGGCCCGTGGACCACACAAGAGAGACGTAACACACATTTTAAGTAAGGTCAGCTGTTTTTTAATTGAAATCCTTTCATTTTCGTAGGTTACATAAACGATAGGTTTTTTTCCCATACAAATCCTTATATTTTGAATGTTACGCAACAATGCCGATGCTCGCTGATGCTCGCCGATGCTCATATTTCGAGCTTTGGCTACCTGTGTGAATCCTAAAGGACAATGTTGCCCTTTCCAATATCATGACTTACACAGTAACATGTCAGAACGTCATCACTTTATTTGCCTATTTTTTATCAACCCTTAATATTACAACTCTGCTCCTCGTGACTTGAGGCTTCATCTAAAAACCAACTCTTGCTCTACTAGGGGAGGGGTGATGGAAGCTTTATGTGGAGAAATGTTTTTCACGGGTAAGGGGATTTGAAAACGTTGTGCAAATTCCCGGGGGGGGGGGCGCAGGTCCCAGTGAAATCCCCTAAACAGGCATGCATTCCTCTCTGGCCAGTCCTTGGCCAGGCCAAGAGGATCCACAAATCAAGCACTGAGATGTGCTAGAAAAAGACGACACTGGTTGGAAAATTTTAGCGGGTGGGGATGGGTAGCGTATTCTTGATTCAAAGTGACAGGGTTGTTTGATGAAATATTTTTTTTGATATGGGTGTGTTTGTGTGTGTGTCACTGTAAGAAATTAGTGACCACACAAAGACTAACTGCTGCAAAAGCTTGGGGCAAAAAACAAAACTTTATTGAAAAAAAAGAGGGAGAAGGAAAAAAAATGCCCTTGGGAGGGCAGGGTGGGTAAAACAATCCGAGCAAGACCGCAAATGACCTTTGAAATGACAATCGTGCGATCTTAATTATGCCCCAGAAGAAACCTGACATTGGCAAAAGACAGGGAGGGTGTGTACCTAATAAAGTGCTTTGACAAATGCTAAAACCACCATTATTTTAGCAAAAATTTTTTGGCAGGGGGGAATAAATTTAAGTTTGGATTGTCTTGGGTTGAAACCTTGATGGCATTAGTCAACACAGAAAAAAAATTAATAATATATACATCCATTGAAAGTGTAATACTCCTCAATGAATGGATTATTTCTTATTGTTACTAATGGCAGCTTCCACATTAATTTTTTACACAGTATACAAGGGCATCAACCGTGTTGTCTTTGGCGGGAATAAGGAGTCAGTTTTCAATGGCTGAAAATATTCAGATGTGTCAATTTAGCTTCCAGTTTATGTCTGATGTTGGGCAAATTTTAGCAGTGGATGGTTGTGATCCCCCTGACATCCAACTTCGACGGCGTGGGTATCTGTTCCTTGCCAGCAGTGATGGAGAAGATGTAATGCAAAAAAATTATGCTCTTCAGAGGTATATTGGAAATGCTATTGGAAAGGTGTAACAGCTATGCGAGGGTGGGAATTAAGAGGAGGGGGGGTGGTCTGGTGCAGGTTAGGGTGGGTGTTTATCAATATGCATCGATGCATCACTAATTTTCAAGTGCCCCCGATCAAAACTATGTATTTAGGCTTGTTACAGGCACATAAATACTGCAAATTAGGTAGGCTGATCAAAATTAGTGTCTGTAGCAGTAATTGATCAGCATTTATAATTCAGTTAAAATATTTTTCTGTTCCTGACTGGCTAAAATCCCACGGCTAATTCTTCCTAACAGCTACCATTCATCAAAGTTTGGAAGATGTCTGTGATATTGGTACCAATGTTGACAGTTGTAAGCCCAGAATCCCGGGGAGGGGGAGAGGGACTCCACATATGAAAGGGGTGGGGATGCTCGTCGGAAATTTTGAATTAAAGCCCTAAAGGAGACCGATCAGGGCGTGGCTCAAGCTTTTGTTGACCCCTAACAGGGCTTCTGATATTTCGCGGGAAAAAAAAGCAAAATTTCGCGGGATTTTCAGGGGCAAATTCGCGGAAAAATCGGCCGATTTCGCGGGATTTTCGCGGGAAGAAAGTCAAAATTCGCGGAAAAATCGGCCGATTTCTGGTATTTTTGCAGGAAAAAGTCAAAATTCGCAGAAAAATCGGCTGATTTCGCGGGATTTTCGCGGAATAAAGTCAAATTTCGGATGATTTTCAGAGGCAAATTTGCAGAAAAATCGGCCGATTTCACGGGAAATTTCGGGGGGAAACCTCGCCATGAAAAAATCAGTAAAAAACAGCCGATTTCGTTGGATTTTTTGGGGGGGAAATTTCGCTAAAATCGATCAATTTTGCGTCGATATGACCAGCGTTGTTTAACATTTTTTTAACCGGGATAATCATTTGCTCTTTCAACAACAGTTCGCTCGAGAAATGAGCGAATGCTACAGCTATTAAACATTATGGTTAGCGCCCAGTTTTTCGCAACGTTAATCTAAAAACGCCTGGTAGTTTTGGGACGTTGTTTACTCGTTGCAGTGACGAAGTTTCAAGATAAATTTGGACGTTTGGGGTGAATAAAACAGGTCTTATAGCTAAGATAAGTATTAAACATGTTTTGCCGACATGTATTTGGAAATATTTCCGGCAGATTTCGCGGTATTTCGCGTTTTTTGGGGAATTTCGCGGGATTTCGCGGAAATACCTGAATTTCGCGGGTCCGCGACCGCGCGAAATATCAGAAGCCCTGTCTAAAAGAGACCATGTTAAAACACAGACAATATATATTTTTTTAAATTTTTTCACGGGGAACCCTAAACGAGACCTTCACGGCTAAATTTGATGGCGTTTTGCCCAGAACACCCTAAGTGAGACCAAAATCCGAAATTTACACCCCTATTCGAGACGACGAGCATCCCCACTCCTTTCATATGCAGAGTATTCCTCCCCCCCCGGGCCTAGAATATCCACAGAAAAATGGATGGCAACCGACAAGTCCGGGGGACGAGGTTACGCTAAGCTGTTTTTGTAAAGAGAGGGAAATGGTAGAACATTTTACATGATTTGTGAAGAAATATCAACGTTACGTCAGGCAAAAGGACTTCGCATGAAAAGAATAAAATTTTGAGCGGCAGTAATTTGAAAACTGCATTGTGTGATAGGCTGGTGTTACTTCACCAAGGCACGTGGCTGTCACGCAAAAAATTCTGTGTCATGCTCTCCACTTTTACTGTTTTTCTTCGAAAAGTTTAGTGCATAGAAGTTGGATAAAAATACTCAGCGATTCTACGCACCAATACATCTAATACGATGCATACAATGTTCTTCATTTGCTAATGACAATTATTGACGTTTGTGTTTGATTTTAGTAAGCTAGGTTGTCAAGTTACTCTTCTTACCGTAAAAGATCTCAAAGAAAGGTTCCCTTGGCTTAACACAGAAGGATTATCACTGGCTTCGCTAGGTCAGTTTTGTTGAAAAATAGAACGCTAATAATTTTTATCAATACCAATTTAATAGTTTGATGCGTGGTCACGGTGATCTTCAGTTGGTATTCGCGTTCAATCCTTTGCTTTATCATCGTGCAAGCTTTTGCAAATAGAGGATATTAAATGGCCGCGCTGGGATACGAATTTTATCTTCGAGTGCTTGCTGAAAGTATCTCTTACGAGTGAACGAAGCGAACGAGTGAGAGATACTTTCAACACGAGAAGATAAAATTTGTATCCCCTAGCGGCCATGTAATGTTCTGTTTATTATATAGATACTGATGAAATTCCTACATAAAACACAACTTAAAGCTCATCTGCGGATGCATCTGCGGAGAAGAGAGTGTCGACACGAAAAGCTATCCGCTGTGTGAACTAAGCCTTAATCAATAAACCCAATGAGAAAATAAAAATGTTTAGCCTGTTCCACAGGGTTCAGAGGAGTTCAGTTTGTCGTGAAAACTTCGAAAACTGTATTAAAAACGGGAAGCTCTCTTGTAACTGGCTAATCATGTTAGTAACCATGGCGACACCAATATGCTCACACGTGAAAGATAAAAATAGTGTCTTCACTGCGCGCGATGAAGATATGATTTTTTAGTAAAAAGGAAAAATCCTGGTATTTCATCAGTATCTATAAAATAAATACCGATATTGGCCGACTCTGACCCTTGTAAATACTTCAACTACAAATTTCAGGCACCGGAAACGAAGGGTACTTTGATCCGTGGTCATTACTTAACGCCTTTAAGAGAAAAGCTATCTCTCTTGGAGTGGATTACGTCAATGGTGAGGCAGTGGACTTTGACACAGATCAGAATGGACAAATCAGCAGTGTTAAGGTTGGAATAATTTATGAACATTTCAGACTCAAATATTTCCAGTGCTTGTATGTTCAAGGAAACATGCGCGCGCCTGCTTCGTACCCAGACGCCTCTCGCGCGCTCAAAGGAAGGCGGGAAGGATGCTTTCCATGGTCCCTTGCGGCTCATCACCAGTCGCTCGCCTCCTTGCGAAAAACGAAGCGCGTGAGGAGGAGGCTGTACGCGCACTACATGATTAGCCTTAACCTTAGAGGCGAGTATTTTTATTTTTTTTTTTTGTAAGCTAGAAACCGTCTCTTTTACAACGCAAAGCACTCAATTTGCATAAAAAAGGGTTAGAGGACTTCTCGGTCATGCCGGATTTTCCAGCAAAGAAACGCTCTTGCTAGCTGCAGTAGCATAGGTCTAGAATCAACTTGAAGATTTTTAATATTACACTCAGCCACGCCTCGTGCAGTGTTTGAATTTCTCATCCATCTACAGCCAGCGCATGCTTTATTTCCTGGTAAAGCAGTCACACTAGCCTCTAACCCTGGAAATTGCAGTATGAAAGTTTGCGGCACAAACTATAACCTGAAGAAGGAAAATGGACCATATCGTGGAGTTGAAGAAGAAACACAAATGTGTGTTCGCTCTACTGTGCTGCGTTATTCTGTTATGATCAGCAGTTACTGAATGAGGCTGAGAATGATATCAAGAATTATGCAGATAGTGGAGGGTGATATGGTACCCGCCTAGGTGGATAACAGCCTTATCACTACATTCAAGTCTTTGTAATCCAGTTTAATTTTTGTATCGCTGCTATCCTTGTCAACCAGGGGTGGAAGGGGGTATTAGATGGAGTTTTCACTTTCAGGTACTAGGCGCTAATTCAATGTGGTGCAAATTCGAGCGTTTACGGTAATTATATTGCTTCTTGATTTAAATCTTCAGGTGGTTTCCAGTTCATCTCCGAAAAATGTGAACGTCATACATTGTGGACAACTGGTAAACGCTGCAGGTCCAAACGCAGGTTATCTCGCAGAGAAGCTTGGCATAGACCTACCAGTACGACCAAGAAAACGTTACGTGTTTGTTTTGGATTGCCCTGGAGCTCCGGCGAATGAATCGTTTCCTTTAGGTTTTTTAGTTGATCCGTCTGGGCTATATATCCGACATGATGGGGCAAGATTTTTGAGTGGACTGTCTCCAAAAAGTGTGAGGAATTTTGATGTGGTATTTCACAGCTGTTGCGATTGATATTTGAATGAAAAGGTCGTAAAATAAAAACAATTTATCCAAGTTCATATTTCTCTCGTCCCTTACACAGATGGAAGATTATGATTCATCAGACTTTGAAGTTGACTACGATTATTTCAACGACAGGATGTGGGAAACCATAGCCCACAGGATACCTGCATTTGAATGCCTGAAGGTAAATGCCTAAAGTTGCACAGGAAACTGGGGAAAAAATCGTCCCTGAATAAATTAGGAGCAAGGGTGGCACAGTTAGTTCCGGTTAGCGCGCGACCTTCGGTGCGCGAGGTCCCGAGTTCGATCCCCGGTGACGACGTTACATCCTTGTTTTCAAGTGTAGCTTTGACTAGCTTTAAATACCCTTAAAACGGAGCATTGATGGAGAGAGGGGGCGTAAAATGCCGTATTGCCTCGAAGGGCGATTTTTTTTCGCACAAAAAGGGGGCGATTATTCGAGGGAGGCGATTATTTCAAATATTGCTCACTGGAAATTGCGCTAAATATTTTGTTTTATTATCCCATTAAAAAAAGAAAAACAAACACATATACATTATTAGGCTTTTTAAGAGTTCCAAATTTTGTTCTTTAATAAATTTTCAATGTCAATATCCTCGGCGACGGAACTTGAATTGTCACTGATCAGTTTTGCTGGATCAGACTCTACTTCAACTTGGCAGGGAGGGGATAAGAGGAAGAGAAGAAGGCAAGAGGGGTGGGGGGAGGGGCGATTTTTCAAGGGTTGCGATTATTTTAAATATTGCCGTCTAAAGGGGGCGATTAATCGAAGGACAGCTATTATTCGAGGAAATAGACTCTCGCTCGGCCTTTAGATTGAACTACGAGTATCTGAAGGAGTACGAGATTGAGTAAGGTTACCATGGTTATGAGTTTTCAAACCAAGTTGACCTGCTTTAGATAATCATTTGTCACACCACAGGGCGTGATAATTCCCATACAAATCCTTATAATTGGCTTCCAGTAGGCTGTTGTGAGTCTAGGACCCTGTGTTCACACCTCTTACATTTCTTTTTCCGCTGGTCGCCAAAAGGAGGAAGTGACAGTTCAAGGGACGTGACTGGCTTAAAAATGGTCTCAAGTTATACTCGTACTCAATCTCGCAGTCGTTGTAAACAAAAAAGGAAGTGTACTTAGCTGCTCTTTCGCTCGATCCAAAACTCCGGTTTTTTGTATAAAGAATTTGTTTTTCATTGCCCGACAATGAAATGAAATGTCCCAAGGCTGCTTGGCGTCGCCGTGTAGCGTCCTGTTTGGGTAAGATAAGGGTCATTTATCTCAAGGCGATGTGGCTTTTCAACTGAAGTACATGTACTCTATTTACTTTTGCATTAGGTTCAGAGTGCATGGGCGGGACACTACGACTACAACACCCTTGATCAAAATGCCATTATAGGACGCCACCCTGAAGTAAGAAATCTTATTTTTGTTAACGGCTTTAGTGGCCATGGTATTCAGCAATCTCCGGCCGCGGGGCGTGCTGTCAGTGAACTCATATTGGACGGCGGTTTTCAGACAATCGATCTCTCACTGCTGGGATTTGAGCGTGTCTTGAGGAACGAACCAATGAGAGAGAAGAATATCGTTTAGGTAGACAACTACTTCTAATATCCTTAAGACACTTGTCGCCTATTTCTCTTTCGTCAACGGAAGGCTCTACATCACATCGACTGACGCTAGATCAAGCTACCGGAGTTGTCTGTACACGTACATGGGTTTGGTAAAGGTTCCCAGATATTAGAAGGAACGGTAGTCTGTATAGCGTGCACTTATTATTATTATTAATACAAATCACAACGTTTTCTCGACTTTTTCACAGCCATAAAATGCATCTGTTAGTCCTTTGGACTTTTTTACAAGTCGAATTGACAGATTTTCCTATTCTGTCATATACTTCTACTTGTGAAATCCCTACCCTTTCATATACCTGAAGTCTGTAAAATGTCACCTTCTGGCAAGTAAGTTCTACCTTTCGATAACGTATTCAAATCTGACCGATGGTGGCCTTCGGAGGAGTATATCTACACTATACGCACCATACTAGATGCCTCTTCTGTCGCTCACAGGACGGGAGAGGAAAGAAGACGGAAAACCTTGAATGTGTGACAAGCGAGACAATAATTTTGTTTGAAATAACTTTACGCCAAACTTCACTTTCCTTTAAACAGACGTTTTTGCTAAGACCAGAAAACATTAATGTTAAGTGAGGATCACGACATAACACGCGAGTAATAGGTCTGTCACGTTTGTCACACACAAGCGTTTTGCCGTCCTCTTCTCAGTTTCTGCCGTCCTGTTGCGTAAACTTGCTACTAGGGAGCTTTAGCATCGACCACGGCGACGGCAGCGAAAAAGTCACTTTTAAAATGAATTCGCGTTTTTCCAAACTTTGCCGCGTTTATTCCAATTCCCTGAAAAAATTTGAAATGTAAGCGAATTTCCCTGGAGTTGATTTCTTGGGGACAGGACTCAAGTTTAGAAAGGGAAGGGAAAATTCGTCTTCGCTTGTTTACGTTCTTCAGAAATCGTGAAATTAGGCATTTTCACGTCGTAGTCGTGCAGTGACGGCAAAGAAATGTACAAAAAAGTGTGATCCACGTGCAAAGTTGTTGTTTTGCTAATCAAACCTATTGTTTTTTGGCCGTTCTCGTTGGTGTAGCCTAAAGCTCCCTAGTTAGCAAAAGAACGGGAACGTCATTTGATGACGAGAAAGCGCGCGGAAAGGACTAAACTCGACTTTCAATGCCAAAATTGCCGCTCTGCCATCATTCTCGTCCCCAGAGCCCGTCGTTTCTTGGTCACGTGGTCTTGAAACGAGGGGCTCAGCCACTGGCTCGTGACAAATTAAGCCGAGTGGCTCTGGGGACGAGAATGTTGGTCAAGCCAGTTGTTTGATTTGTGCGCGCAGTCGTCAACTGACGTTCCCGTTCTGTTGCTAAAAAAGCCTAGTCGTTTATTTCTAACGAAGCCTTTTGTCATGATTGATGTAAAATATGCTCTGGATTATGTTATAGTAGCACAAAAGGAAGTCAAATAGTCTCGGAAGACATTTCGAGTTCCGGAAAGACAAGGTTCTTTTATAAAGCTTATGTTGGATTATTCATAATTAGTAATGTACTTATAATCGTAATTGAACCGAATGGAGTGCAATTTGGACCGAAATCATGCGTTACGTGATTTCAACATCGAACGAGCGCCGTTAATCACTTTCTCTGTAAAAGTAGATTTGAAGGAATTCTTTCGCTTTTAATCCGTGTGGTTAATTCATAGAGGTCAACCACAAAGCAAAGCCAGAATTTGTATTTCCGAATAAATTGGCATGTTCTGTTCTTCAGCTATTAGGGAACTGAGGCAAACACGTTTTTGAGCGAAACACGTCAAGCGGAAGTGATGCTTTTTCCCTTTTAATATAGCTTGACATTACCACATTTGTGTTACTAAGTGTCTTAGTAGTTTAGAAATTAAGTTTTGCATTCTTGGGCAGTGCTTTTACACCAAAATTTTTGGGAAAATAGTCTCTATACGAGTAAAACCACTTTTGGTAGCATTTAGGCATGTTATTGAAGCTCTCTATTTATAAGTGTGCTCCAATGGCTATATTAGTAAGTGGTTAATTGACCAATCAGAGAGCGCCCTTTAGGTTTGTTATACAGACCCACAACATGAAAATGCTCTCTTATTTACAAACATTCAGAAATGTTACATAATTACCACGAAATTTCATTTTATTATCTCTTTAAGTATTTACATTCTTATTTTTCGCTTATTTCCTTTTGTTTTTTCCTTGATTTATGTGATAAATACTGCTTCATTCACTTGAAAGCGATCTTTTAAAGAAACAGATCATATTGTATGTGGTTTTTTTGTGCACCGTCCGTGCTTAGTCACGTTAAACTTCGTCATTTATGTGGATTAAAGAGCAATTTGGGATTATTATCTTATCGTATCATTTTTAAGAGCCGTACAATGTTTTACAAACTTATTTGTGAAGCAAGTATGGGCTAGTATACCCACCGTTTGTTTAGCTTATAAACAAAACATATCGTTAAGTATATTGTAACACTTGTTCCCTGCTATCGGCTACACCGCGGAACAGTATCGTAACGTAGAAAGCATACCAGAAATCCAATCTGAAGTGATGACAGCGAAGTTGCCTTATTCTAAAGCCAAAATGTATTTGAACACAGTGAAATTTCTCTTCGCCTCTGTACGTTCATGGATGGCAGCTTTCGGGTTGTTATGACATGAACCATTGAAATCATAACGTCTTTCCACTGTTTCGTCAGTAGTTTTTTACTGCTTTGTTCAGAATTCCAGAAGTTTTTGCTTGCGTTATTTGAGAATTGCCAAGCACGTGTTTTTATACAATCTGAAGTGGCGGCATACAATACAATTTGGCGGAGTAGTACTCTGTGACCGACACGAATCATTATTTTCGAAATAATCGTTATTTGTTCAATTAAAACTTCAATGGGTCTTCAATATAAATCGGGAATTAACTATACTTGATATTGTAAGGTTACTAGTTACTCATTTATGGTACTGAAGTTGACGCTACGCCAAAGTCTCAAGTACCATGACGAAAACAGTGAAAAAACAAACTACTTGAAAAGCACGCATGCTTAAAAGGGATGTGTCACGGCTGTCTATAGTTCATTTCCAAGTTAACTATGCCGACTACGCGTCCTTGTTCGCTGTGGAACTTGAGAAATTGCTTGTGAATAACAAAACCACAGCCTCGTGTCAAGCAAATATGTCCCCCAAGCACTGTATCAAAACTGTATCAAACCATATCAAAGATTACAAACAACAACAAAAAATTAAACTATGAAAAACTCTGATGCTAACAAGTTTCCAAACACCACAATTGCAATCCGTTTCAATCTTCTTCAAGTTTGTCCATGACTCCATTTCGTATTCACTGTGTTATTTACATTTTTTGATGTTTTGAGCGGTTTGTTTTTTTATGTTTCACTCAATTTGATGGCAGATCCAACCGTTTGAGTAATAAATTTAATGACACAGCTCCTTTAAGTGTGGAAAAAAATGTATTGCACCGAGAAATATGGCTCGAAGATCAATGGAGTTCTTCATGAACAAATTTTGTGAAAGAAGTGTTAACATAAACGCTACCTTTGTCCTATTTTAAGAGTTTCTAGGAAAAAGAATCAGTCTGAAGTTTCCACACACTTTTGATGACTTTTCTATGCAATTTTTTTTTTTTTTACACTTTTCGACTTTATCGGTGTAAGAAATTAGAAGAAGTGACTTGTTTCTAGTGGAACTTCCACCGTCGCTCTTGACAAATTCACTGTTTGAAGTTTACGTTTTTAATTCCATTTATAAGAAAGGTGAGAAAATAATGCGCAAATAGACATATATCTCTTTTCAACAACCCGATGCACTCAGGAACATCTGGAAGCGTTGTTGGGTCAACCCGCGATTCCGTTTTAAAGTCGTTGTTGCTGTAGTGGTTGTATTCACGTGTTCACAGTCCAAAGTACTATGACATCATCGACAATACATACACAGCAACAACCAACGCCCATCGCAATATGGTCACTAAATTTTGACATTATTCAAGAGCTCAGATCTGGGTAGCAGTGGAAGGTTTACACGAGATAAATTAAACTAATTGTTCGTACACTTACGGAGGTTTTCAGTTAGATGTTCGTGATTTGTTCGGCGGTCACTTTGAAAGTTTTGCCCACGCGACGTTTGACGAAAATGGTGGTTATTGTTGTGGGCATCTTTGTTCTCAAATTTCTTCTCTTGAATTCCAGCCCTGCTTTTTATAGAACTATCCTGTTAGCAGACAGCCGGAGTCGTTCGCATCGCTGAAAGTCGCGTAGGTTGGCTTGTTTACGTCTGCGAGAAAACCGGGAAAATTAAAACAAGCCAACCTACGCGAATGTCGGCGACGCGAACGGTTCCGGCGGTACATATCGTACATGCGATAAATCTTACCGAAAGGAACTAGCTGAAACTTCTGCTAGCAGGGTTTAAAGAACTGACATTTTTGTGTTGATGTCCTGAAGAATCTTTACGTTTTAAAAGGTGTAACATAATGTAGTTCTGTTAGAGTCTTGAGTGGAAAACTCTTGCTTTGCATAATGCTATTTGCTCTATCAGGAATTTTTCTTCACAAAATGACAGTTTTAAATAGCTATGCATTGAAAAGTGCTGATTATGGCAGGTTTTGAGAGAGGAAGGAAGCGTTCTCTTCAAACAACACTTCTTCTCATGTATTGATTGTGGAAGTACCAGTACATTTTTGCACGTCAGTGCTTGAAGGTAGCTCTGTATATATCTGAACCAAGTTAGTTATTCTCGTCCGGCCCCTGGCAGCAAAAGGAGCCGTTATTAGTCCTACCTCTGGCTGTGCAGGGGGGAAAGTATGTTCTTTAAAGATAAATTTCCACTGTTACGTAATTTTTACGTACATGCACGCGTAATTTACGTGCGTAAGTACGTATAATATAGGTAATGTATGAAAGGTCGCGCGTTACCTTTAATTTGAGCGAGGTTCAACGTTTACGTTACGCGCGACCTTTTATACATTGCCTCAATTTTATTTATGGGCGTAAAAC